CTAGTAAGTGTTTCTAGTAACTACGCACTAACTACGCCTACTAGCAGGCTTAGAGAACTAGTAGGAGAACTAGTCTAGAAGTAGAGGTAGTTAATGCGTAGTTACTAGTAAATGTTTCTAGTAACTACGTATTAACTACCTCTTTCTGCCAGCTTAAGCTAAAGAAAAAGAGATAAAAGGTAATACTAGTTATATATTTAGCGTTAGCTAGCAGTAAAAATTAGGTAGCTATATAGAGGCTAACAATGTGCTTCTTTCTATATAATAAAATATAACTCTTTTATTTTTAAGTATTACTACCTATCTACTAACTCTAACCTGCTAGTAGGCTTAGAGGACTAGTAGAAGAACTAGTCTAGAAGTAGAGGTAGTTAATGCGTAGTTACTAGTAAGCGTTTCTAGTAACTATATACTAACTATATAATTACTTAATCTTATATATTATCTACCTATCTAAATAAACCTATATACTTCCTAAACAGTATATTAAACTATTTTATTTACCTATAACTTAGTCTAACTTCTTTTATAATATCTTTATTAGAATATTACTAGTTTTATAAGAGTATTAATATCTAGATCTATATAGATTTTAAAGATTATAAGATAACCTTAAAGTTACTTCTTTAAATATTATTCTTTGTATAATATAATAACTATATTAGATAAAGCTCTAGTAGGATTATTTTATACTAACCTCTAAACTAGAGAATTAAAATATAATAGTTTATTAATTATTAATTAACTTTAAATATTACTTACAATACTCTAAAAGCCTAGATTATAATCTTCTTATCTTTAACTATATATTATAAGTCTATAATTAACAGCAATATAGTAATATAGTAGTATATCTTTCTTAACTATTATAACTTATCTTTTAACTTATATCTATTTATTAATATTCTTTGTTTATTTTGTAAACTATAATAAATAAACTAAGATAGATAATTAAAAGCTAATTTACTAATATAAGCGTTACTTAGTAGACTATACCTATATATAATAAGTTTATATAACTTTCTATATCCTCTTTTTATTTTCCTTATTATTACTATTTTAACTATAGCTAACCTATTTCTATTTACTATTATAGAGAAAGCTTCTCTCCTTGCTTTATCTTTGCGCTGCTCTATATTAATAGTAGATTTCTTTAGAAGTATAAACAGTGTTACTCTATAAAGTTAAAGAGTTAGTCTAGCCCTAAGTTTTATACTAGTTACTTACTATTATCTTCTAGACCTAGCTCCTCTTATCCTTAACTCTTTATTCTCTTTAAGAGGGCTTTCTCTTTTTAGACTAGTTAGATAATAATTCCTCTAGTAACTACTTAGGCTCTAATTAGTCTTAACTAGAAGAGTCTAATATTAATATTAATTTTATATACTAGAGTAATAGTATAGATAGGGATACTAATTCTCCTATCCCTACAACTAAGAATAACTACAAAAGATAATAATATATAGAATAAGAAATCCTATAATTATAACTTTAGTATAAGAGCAGCTAACCTAAATCTTTACTAGCAGCTTTTTTAAGTCCTTATAAACAGAGACCTTTTTCTATAACTACTATACTTTAAATAAGCTCTCCTAGTTTAACTTATAGAGATTAGTAATATATGCCTCTACTAATATAATAAACACTAAGCTATAGGCCTTCTAAGACTCTGCTAGCCTAACGCAAAAAACAGTTCTAAGCTAGGAATTATTTTACTCCTTAGAAACGTTATACTTTAACTTAAAGAAGGTAAATAACTGTAACTCTATAGTTAGGTACGCCTTCTTAAGGATAAGCCTAGATAAATAAGAGTTACAAGGCCCCTTTAAGCCTACTAAAGCCTATTATTTCCTAAGTATATATTCCTTCTTAAATACCTATAAGATCTACGCTAGATCCTGTAAGTAGTTAAAGATTACCTAGGTAAAGATTACCTTCCTTAGATCTTAGCTCTATTCTATATCTAGCTAATAACTAGTTTAGCCCTAAGCTATCTTTGTAATTAGTAAAGTATCCTAATATATACACTATAAGTAGTTAGTTAGCTATCTACTATTTCTTTAGAGTATTTACTAATATACTATTATAGAAAGAGATTACCCTTATCTAATTAGAGGTTAATCTTACATTTATAAGTAGTATAGACTTACTAGGATATAAGAGCGTATAGATACTAGTAATACACTATCTTATATATAAGCTATACTAAGAAACTTAGAAATATCTCCTAGATAGATATAATAGCCTAGACAGTATAAATAGCTATAAGGCCTATATATTTAAGGTTATTCTTTCTATCTAGAAGATTACTTACTTAATAGCTACTAGGCTACAGCATTTACTAAAGAATAGACTATACGCTTAGAAATCTCTCTATATAAGCGCAACTAAATTCCTTACAGACTAGGATACTCTAAGGATTATAAGACCCTCCTAGTATAACTTTTCTATAAGGATAAACTCCTATATATTTAGTAACCTTATCCTAGCTATTCTTTACCTCTAGTGCCTAGGCCTATCCTAAATCTATTAAACTACTACAGTATTTAAAGATAATAATAAGGCTGTAGCTATATAGGCCTTTCTTCCTACCCTTTCTAAGTAGTTAAGGTATCTAGAGTTAATTATAAATAATTATATATATAGTACTGCGTTTAGCTCTCTAGAACTACTTCCTAAGGTAGGCTAGTAAGCTGTATACGTATTTAATATTATAAGATAGATATAGACAGAGATTAGTATAGTAGTAAACTTATAGATAAGAGAAGTTACTAGCCTCCTTTCTGTCTTAGAAAGGGTAATCTTAATAAGAGAAAGCTCTAAAGCTAATCTACCTATATATACCCTTTAGAATAACGTTAAGTATACCTACTCTAGTAGTAATATATAGATACGTTAATATATAAATACCTAGAAAGCAGTCTATACTATTAGCTTTATATATAAACTAAACAAAAAATAACAAAAAGCCTTTAATAAAGTAGCTCTTAATCTATATAGAGTTATAACCTTATCTCTTAATAGTGCTGTTATTAAAGAGGAGGATTTACTATAGTATTTTATTTATTATTATAGCTATTACTCTTACGTTTAGGCTACCCTAAAGCTTTTTCTTAAGCTAGAATCCTAGTTTAAAAAGTAAAGTCCTCTTAGAGCTGTCCCTATAACAGCTACTATTAATAACCCTAAGGTAGAGATAATAAGAAGGCTTCTGCTACTTCTAAGCCTACAGAAGTTCTCTCTTAAGAAGGTTACTAGATTTCTATATCTTATAAAATAGGCGCCTTAATTTAGGAGGATATATAATAGAAT